TGCACATGCCCAATTGTCTTCAAGTCTTACCTGAACAAGTACAGTGCAGTATTATACAGTAAAATAGTTAACAGCATTTGCCCAGAATTTGCATATTTCTTGAACAAATTTTATAAACTGGAGAATGTATGGAATGATTTTGCATTGTCAATAACATCTTTTTTTCCCATAGGATCTTGACCATAAGTTTGTTTTAAGGTGTAGAATACCTGTACTGTATAAGAAAAAGCAGATCACTTGATGATTAGCCCCAGCTTATTTCAGCTTAAGATTAATACCCTAATGTTAACCTAACCTAATCTCCCGTATTTAGCATTAGGGTGCTTAATTATTAGGTTCAAGAAGTGAGGGTTCCTAAACATCAAAAGATTCAGCTAAACCACACTAGACCAAGACTTGATCACCTGAGACGAGAATGTGTGTGTGTGTGTGGTAACCTGTACAAACACTTAGAGGAGGAGGTGCTGTAAGGGTGATCCTGCAGCACAGTACAATATGTGTGGGTTTAGAAGTGTTCAAGTGAGCACACCAAGAGCCTGACACATTTGTTGTATTGTCCGGCCAATTGCTTATAATTTGTGTGTTATTGTTGGTAGTACAACAGACATGCCTGCACTAGTAATTTGGGGGTTTTATTTATAGAATAATTATTATCCATTACATTACTTTGTGTAAATATAATGTATCCTATGTTGGAACTGTGGAAATTTACTGTAAATATACTGTAGCTACTTTGAAATTGATGAGTAAGCTGTGACTTCTGTGGCTTTGATGCTTCAACAAACTGACAAAAAAGTCATCATAGTTTGTGTTGTGAGGTGTTCTAGGCTCATCAGGTACAATGAACTGTTGTTTATGATGGACGTCTTCACATTGTAGTATTTACCCTAAGTTTGTGTGTTTTTCATGTTCTTCACCCAGCTTTGTAGTCTACACAATCACTTGAGTACTGTTACTATATCAGTGATAACTCTGTAATAGTACAGTAATTGGTTACAGCTGTATTTTACACCATTAGTAAAATGTCAGATCACATGAAAGCTAGGCACCCCAGAGGCACCCCAGCTTATGTCACCTGATTATTAAACACCAATGCTAACCTAACCCTCCAGGTAACATCAGGGTGCTTAATCATCAGATGAAATAAGCTGGGGGTCTGTGCTATGTAAACTTCCTGCCATCCCAAAACTCATTCACTAATTAGTTTTGAGTTTTTACTTAAAGAAAACTTATTTTTTTATCATACTGTTTGACCTTGCGTGAATTTTAGATATAAATATTTGACAAGAAATACAGTGTACACTTGATGTACTGCATGTATTGGGAATTTCAGACTGGTGCTGTATATAACTACTGTATGTAAGAAGAGTGGCATGATATCAGAAATTTATATTATCTTGTACAACCTAACCTAACCCTCCCAGCTAAGGTTGTGTTTTTGTCAGATACTGTACTGTACTCAGAATACTGCCTGGTTCTGTGTGGCACTTCCTCTAATGGAGATGTTTGACAGGTTCCTTACAGATTATATTAATTTAGTACATAGTGTAATCTAGTGTAGGAAAATGAGCGAAATAATTTTTTTAATCACCGTGAGAAGGACAGCTCTGATTATGGTTGCTCAGGGGGCTACAGGGCTAATTTGCTATACTGTACCTGTAATTAGGATAGATGACACACAACTCTGTCTCTCCAAGTTTGGTTAGGTTATGTTGGGTCAAGTATACGATAGTCGTCACTTTTTTCCCCATAGTATCGTCCATCACTCGTGCTTCCTGTGGAGACATGATCTTATGATGTAAATTTTTATTGTATTTTTTTCTAAAGATTTACACCAGATTTACTTTCTATTATTAAAACACACCGGGCACCTTCCTCCAAACATGTCGCCCATTTTGCTGGCTGTTGGCCTGTCTGCCCAGCAAGCAGCAGGCTTTCTGATGTTGCAAGAAATGGGTAATGGTTGGGCGGGGATCTTTGCTGGCTGGATTAGTGCTCAAATGAGCTTCGTATAATTTCAAGAAAAATTTGAAATAAATCCTGAAACAATAATAATTTAAATTGTAACACGTAAACGATGACACATTTCTATTTATTCATCACTTTAAAACGTCTTTAGTCTTATTAAATCATTATTCTGGGTCTTCTTTGACAGGCCAGCCACTGCCACTTTTAAAAAAAACTTCACGACGCACCCAATGTCTTTTCTTTAACTTTTGAAGATGCCTCACTTGCTTCAGCAGTTGAAGAACTATAGCACAATCCTGCAAGGCCTCAACTGTAGTAACGGGATCCATGGCGGACCTCGTCAAGACGCTTTGTTATTGTTTTCGTTGCTTTGGGCAGATGCAACAACAAAACATCCCAGTGTGAGTCAAAACTTCTCTTTGTTTTTTGGCCGGACCGTGTTGGCCAAACATGTTGGGAGGAAAGTGCCCAGTGTGCCGCTGCCTTTACTGTAGAGACATTAATTTTTATACACCTTCCTTCAGTGCCACTCTGATATACTGAACACTTTAGGGTGAAGGTTAAGAGGAGGGCTGCTCTATATTAAGAAGTGTTACATAGTGATCATCTGGACTGAAAGGAAATGACAAAGAATCCTCACTTGAAGATAGACCCACCCTCAGCTTATTTCACTTAACACCCTAATGCTAACCTATCCTAATCCAACCCCTTAATAGTGTAAGGGTGTCTTATTAACTTGTGAAATAAGCTGTGGGGAGGGGGAATAATCTTCATGTGGTCCCAGTGATCTGTTGCAGTTTAATGAGGACAGAATTGCCATCCTTGGGTGACCACACCGAAGGCAGAGCTTGTGTTGGTTACTTGGGTGTTGGCCATTGGTGACAGTATCATTACCAGCTGTAAATATTTCTGGGTTTTTATTTACATTTGTCTCATTTATCATCATAAAAAAGTTACTCTTCATTGCCTGCCAGCAGCATAGTGTAATTTTGTTAGGGCAGTGGATATTAGTCCACACTCTCAGACAAATAAGTCTCAGGTGGCATTCATCCAGCATTCTCCTGTAGTTCCTCCACAATCCATTCCTCGCTAACCTCACCCAACCAAACCGAACCTAACTCTCCATACATCTGTTTTGTAGTAATTTTGTGTTATTTCCTTAAGAAACTGCTCCCAGGTGTAGTGAACAAGAGGCACCTCGTCTAGGATAACTACCACCTGTGAGTTATTTGACCGTGAGTGCCGGACAACACCATATCCTGTTGTTAGAGCCGGTTCAAACAATCAAGTCTAGACAATATGGTGTTAAGAGTGTTACTTGATATAGATTGCTTAAAGTTAACTTGGGAAGAAATAGGTTTGCTTTGTTTTAACTCTTGTATTGACATCATGTTCATCTCGGTGTTAATGAGGCAGTATTTTGGAGATGTTTCGTGTACACTGAGTTATGTGACTTTCCACTCTATGACCAAAAATATATTGAGTATAGTATTTAGGTAGATGGATGAATAGAAGGTTAGTTATATCTAAGAATATATTAAAATATTACAATTTCAACTGCATGAATGAATTTTGCACGTGTGATATTTACACTGGACCCAAGATAAAGAATGATTCATTAGAGAAAGTTTCACAAGAGAACGAGGCATAAATTTCTTTCGTTTTTCTTGAAGACCAAATCATTACATATGAATGATGGATTCACAAAGATGGACTACAGGTACGGTGCAGAAGGCGGCCCACGGCTGCTCTCCTGTTCCCAAAATTCACCACCAAATGTTTATTAACCGTATTAACATTATTAAACACTATGATGAATAGGAAATGCAGTGTTTGAATACATACGGTAATAGTACTGTAATGTATTGTTCAACGTTAATAAAATACTATGATATCATTAGGATAATAATGTTGTACATTAGACCATTTTAATCACCAGAGTGGGACTTGTGTCTACAGAGTTCCCAAGAAACCTTAAATAAAAAAATAAAAAATTATAGTTCTTCTATTTAATAAAGAAAAAAATATTAATTACTATTTTTTTTTTTTTTTGTTGCACTTGAATCGTATCCTGACAACTCAACAATTATTATAGGACAAACATTAATCACGACCTGTTTGAATTGCTTTTACATTAGATATTAATGGTCAAATTTAAGATGAAGATGAACCACGCAAAATTACCCTTTAATAGTACTGTACACCTAGATGATAATACAGTGATCCCTCGGTTAACGAATTACCTTCCATAAAATTCTTAACTTCGGTTAACGAGCAATCCCTCGATTAACGAATGCCTTACGAGCGCCCCTCAACATGTTTTCTCTTGCACACTAGCTGTCATATTAGTCCGCCAATACAGTAATCGGTTCTAGGGCTTAAATTCCTTACTATTTTAGTAAATATCAAGAAGTTTGTACTATTCAATAATTTTAAAAGTCATATATTAAATTTTTTAGTCATTTTAACAATAATTTAACATAATTTAAGTACAGGGAAACTAGTTTTTAGTGCGCCAAACAGCCTGTCAACACACCATACAGGCGTCAGTCTCTGTGTCTTCAGTGGAGGTAACATCTTGCTTGAGACTCTCTTCAACTAAACACTTTTTTTCTGTGTTTCCAGTCAAATTTTTGGTCATTTTGAAATTTATTTTACATATTGACAATATGTAATGCAGTGCAGTGTTGATATAAAGAAAATAATCTTGAATTACACCAAGTAAACTAAAATTTTATGGGTGAAATGGCACCATGGGGTGACTTCTCTTCCACCCCATTCCTTCTCTTCTCCCTTCTCCTCCACCCCCATTCTAATTCCCATCATCATCATCCAGGAGCCTTCTACATACACACCTCAAAGTAAGTGTACTTTACTACCTTTTTTGTTGACTTTAGGCAATTTTTGGTGAGCTGGAACCAATTACCCAAAAACCCATTGAAACAATAGTTTCGGTTAACGAGCAACCTTCTAGAACAAATTTTGCTCGTTAACCGAGGGACCACTGTACTGTACAGTAATAATATTTAGTCAGTAAAATCATCAAAAACATTTACAATAGATTTAACATGTACTGTATATAGAAAATGCAGGTACAGGTATATAGACCATACTGGTGTACAATTTCTAGTGTACCTAGATGGTGTAGGTACAGGGTGTATAACACTAGTAAAGCACATCAACCAAGAATAACTGACAGTTGTGTGAGGGCCAGAACTGTTCCCATAAGAAATTAAGTTTGATGATAGAACAATTCACAAATAATCGAGGTTTTCAGGAACTTATTATCGTTTTTTATTGAGGGTCCAGTGTACTATACAGGTATAATAATGGAGTCCTGTGTACAGTACAGTATTGACTTTGTAGTGAAGATTGATAAGAACAGTAGTATAGGTATTAAACATTGTTGTCAATACTGTATTGTATTACGTCTACTTTGGACAGTTTTTATGGCTGTAACTTACAGTTTAGTTTTATAACCACAACATCGCTGGTTGGGGCTTCTGTAAGTATATTTCAAGAGTGCATAAGCAAAGACAGCAGATGAATCTCACCTGTATTGTGCATTGCAACAGCGCTTTTGATGAGGGAGTGATTTCAATGTGTCACCTCTCTTTACCAGAACTATTGTCAATGCATTTATGTCACCATATGCATAGCAGGACAATGAAATGTCTCCGCTCCACCCATGGATTATATACAGTATGTACATAAGAGGTGGGATCCAAGGGTTGCAACAGACCTTAACCTACCTCCCTAGATGTGGCTCAACCGGACAATGTAAGGTTGTAGCCTTTTGTCTAGGTGGTACAGGGTCTGTCAACATCCTCTCTCATGCCTGCAGGCGCCACCACTATATCAGGCTTTTACTCTACAGGCAAAGATATATTGTCTCTGACTCGAGGAGAACATTGATGATATGTCTGATACACGACGTAAGAGCTGTGTGCTGTTCTGTTGTGGTGTTTGAACCCCAGCATAAGGGCCACTGAGCAGCAAGGTTACAGCATCATCACAATGTTGTCCTCACCTGATCCATGTTTGTTGTGTATACTGTACAAGGTGCTGTAACTTTGTAGCTGAGTCGCCCCTGTGTAAGGGACCCAGGTAAGCAAGCAGCAGTGATTTGTATCTATGATATATTTCAGGGTGATCAAAATATATTGTAAATAATAGTTTATCTTTGTTGAATGATTGAAATATTTAGTAAATGTGCCTAATTGTCCTGTCATCTAAGCTTCACCCATTTTTGGCCTGAACCTTTGCAACAATCACAGATCATAAAAGTTGAGTGGTTGCTTGGTGCTGAGTTGATCCATGGGTCACTTAGCTACCAAGAACCAGTTAACAACCATAAATGTGAGGGCTGATAAGTATGGTATTAGTGGTTGGAGTTTAGCTTATAGGTCAGTTATGTGGAGTGTGTTGACATTGTTGTGGTCTCAAAGGTGATAACTACAGTTTACATGTGAAGCTGCTTGACTCACGCATCTGATATGGAGACTTGTGTAAACCTGAAGGAACAGTAAGATATGACATTTGTAATGAGTTGATATAATACTGTACTGATTTATGTGCAGACAAATTACTTATAAAAGCTTACCAATATTTGTCTGGTAGAATTAAGGTCTTTTATGTACAGTTGCCATCACCTGCATCTGGGACAGTGTCTGGTGCATTTTGGGAGATATGGCAACTGTGTGTTTGTTTACTGTTACAGGTGATAATTGAAGGCAACTGTCCACATATTAAATACAGTGCAGCACTAGCAGTGTATTGAGAATGGCACAACATTTAGCGGGTCGACTGAAAATACCACAAATTGTGTACAGTTTAGAAAATGTTTTATCAGTAACAAAGACTTCCTTAAAATAAGCTCTCCATACTTAATATATTCCCCAGAACTAAAAGAAAACAATGTGTCTAGATGAATGATTTATTGAAGCAGGCAAGAAATATTTCAGAATTTCTATACAGTAGCCCACACATGGTGAGTCTTGATGTAAGCCTGTCTGTTGAAAGTACTGTATGGAGACAGACCAGAGCTGTACACATGAGTACTTTCTGCGAGTTGTGTCACTGACCTCAGGCAGATGAAGGTTTGAGAGTTTAATTTGTTGTATGTTTTCACTCGTTCTTGTTTCTAGATATAACTTATACACAATGTTAAGGGACAGAATGGTGTAATTTTTATTTTTTTTTTTTTTTATGAAAATGAGTTCATCCAACTGAGATCTTTCCTCAACTCTGCTGTTTATGTTGTCTTAAATTCCAACTTTTATTTCATCATGGATTTAATCTTGCAGAAGAATAAGAAATGTCCAAAGTAGAGACTAGCCCCGACGGCCCTCCGAGAAAGCTCCCTCGTCTCGACAGTGAAGGAGATGAGGGAAGATCGTCGTGCCCGGCACCCGGAGGCAGCAGCAGCCAGGGCCCGGACAGAGAGGACGCTCTGTGGTCGTGGGCATCAACTGGATGTGCGTCACTAACAAAAACATGTTCTGTTTCTGCCAGTGCATCACATAATCATATATATTCCCTTAATTAACTTATGCTTCCTATAGGTTGCAGAATCTGTTAGAGGCTTTGTGTAGTTATGCCAGTCTGAATTACCGGTATTTAAGAATGAGAGACACAGAGTAACAGTGAGAGCAAGAGTAGAGGAGATGTGTAAGAATGAGAGTAAGACAAAGGGAACAATGTCATATAATTAATAAAAATTCTGCTAAATGTTGTACAAGAATGAGAGAGAGGAGGGTGGAGCTGGTACTGAATAGTGTTTTATATCATCATCCAGTACTGTACTAACACACTGCTCTGCATGGCTCTTCAGTGATAGTTACCCTCTGTATAGTTCTAAATAAAGTTTAATGTGTACATATATTGCTCTAAAATGTCATGATTTCTGTATATTATTTAAGGTGTTGTGTGTCTGTATTCAGTACTGTCTAATATACAGTCCCCCTTCACTAGTGTGTTTACAACGGCTTGTCAGGTTTTGTGCAGTGTGGCAGCCCTGTGTTTGTTTACATTCAACAGAAGGAAACTCGCAAAAGTAAGTACAGTATACTATGGAATCAAAGTAAAACAATATTAAAACAAATATCGCATTGTAATGACGTGTGGAATGTTTATATGACGAGCCCCTGTAAACGCACTAGTGAAGGGGACTGTTCATCTATGCACAGAAAAAAAAATTAAAGGCCCTTTTCTCAGTACAGTACTGTATGTTGCAGGCTGGCCAAAACTAAGAATAAACACAAACACTCTTTTTTTTTTCTCTGTCTCATAATACTCTTGGTGCTGTAAGTGAGGTTTTCTGCTGTGGTATTCCCTTTCCTCAAGACCCCAAGATAAACATCCAGTTTATCCGTGTCACGTCACATTGCCCAGCGTTACCCCATCAGCAGTACGTCCGTCTCCAAAAGCTACTTGACGCCATACTGCTCAGTCGTTGATGATGCTTCGTGGCTGTTCACATCCTGCTGTTAATTTATTCTTTTTGGTTTATCCCTTTTTTTGATATCTCTATCAGCTTCTGTGCTCTTTAGTGATGAAAATCAATTTATAGTTTTACAGAATTGAATATGTTATAGGACTGTGTGTTAATGTACCCACTGTAGGTGTACAGCATGAACACTCCTGGGGGTACACTGTCATACTTAACTACTGTACAGTATATTACATCACTTTATGTAGGTCTCACTTGTCATACTACAAAAGGGGTGTTTAACAATCTGTTTATCTCTTGAGTCTGTCTGTGTGTTTGTTATCTTCAGTGTTGGTGGCATTTACTTGAGGATCAACACAAGTTTGGCAACACTTGCATGTTTCCTCAACATACATTAAGAGAAAACAAACAAAGGAACAAGTTTTCCCCATTCCTTGGATGATTCACAAGTGTTTGCCTGACATGGTGTTGAGTTGCCAAGTAAACCACTAGTTGCTTGCTTGCTTGCTTCTAAACACAAAAGAATTCCACTTCACACAATTTTAGGTAATTCCCCCAGCAGTATCTGAAATATCTGGTCTTTCCCTGCATTTTATTTTCTAATTTAATTTTTTTTTCTCCGCATACCTAAACACACACACACACACACACACACACTGGCCTCAGTATATCCGTTTGGTTTATCAGTGTTACTTAGCACTACCAGCTACCATACCTCTATCAGTGTCACATCCACCCCCCAGCACCCATTGACACTACTGTATACTGCTTATTCTCTCTCTCTCTCTCTCTCTCGCTCTCGCTCTCTCTCTCTCTCTCAGTATAATAAATTAAATGAAGAACAAGATTTCATTACAATTGGGAGACATAAGTTTTTAAAATTGTTCTCAGTGAAATGATAGACAAACCCAAAGAAATAATAATGTGGAAGTGAACGATGACGGATTAAAGTGAATGGTGGTGTGGATTTCCTTAACCACTTGTGTATGGGGTCACCTCTCCGTCGAATAAAATCGTCTTGACATTAACCAAGTACGACACGACCTCAAGGGGTTTAAAGAATATGTTAAGAAAGGTTAAAGATGGGGAAAACTAGTCAGCCTTTGGTGTTCTTCTATCTGGTAATGGTGACTCCTCCACACCACTAATGTTCTGTAATGTAACGACTGATCTGCCAAACTCAGAATTCGGTAATATACTTTCACGAGAAGATGAAATAGTTGAATGTCTTTGGGCCTTGTTGTTGAAGGAGGTTTGAGTAGAAGACATGTGGTAAGGAAGAGACAACAGATGAGAGGAGGTATTGTTACCCCTCTCCCCTGTCTGTACGCTTAATAAGAAGAGCTTTATACAGGGTCATTATTTTATGGTTATTATTCAAGAGCCGTTTCACTGATTCTTAGATCCCTGTTTAATGCACGGTCTAAAATAAACAGTCGTAATTATTTAGGCCTCTTGTATATAAAAGAAGGAGCCTGTATTAACAACCTTTAGTTTCTTAATAACCAGCAAGTACTGTACTGTGTCAAGCATAACCTATAATGGGTCATGAATACTTGAAGATACATGAGTATATTAGGATGATTGATGATGATATGATGATGATGATTGTGAGTTAGTAGAGAGACAAATATGATCACTGATGGTAAGGTCATAAGGAAAGAATGGTTCACCAAGATTATCCTACCAGCTTATTTCACCTAAAGATTAACCATGCTAACCTAACCTAACTTAACCTATTCTAATCTAACCAAACCTATCCTATCCTAACCTAACATACTCTAACCTAACTTAACCTATTCTAATCTAACCAAACCTAACCTATTCTAACCTAACCTAACTTAACCTATTCTAACCTAACCAAACCTAACCTATTCTGTCCTATCCTAACCTCATCCCCCTAAATAGTGTTAGAGTGGTTAATCTTTAGGTGAAATAAGCTGGGACAGTAGAGAAATCTTCAGGTGATATAGAGCAATGACAAAAGGTGTATAAAAGTACCTGTGTGTGTGTGTGTGCCAATTTTTCTTTAACCCTCAAATTTCATGTAATTTTCTAAGTTCTTCGATTTAATTTATTTTCTATATATTCAAGTGTTGTTCCTCCTGTAGATAATCAGTTAAGTTGTAGAATATTTGGTCTGTATTTTCAAGGCTCACAGAAGCTATTATTGAACACAGTTTCCTCATAAAATCCCAGGAATATTCATCGTAATGTTTAACTAGAATTGTTACTGGTATTTAAATCTCTTCATTTCTTATTGATTTTTATTTATCTATATTCCATTGACAGTATATATAGAAATTGGTGAATATTTAATGAAGACTTTAGCTTATTGTCAGAGCACAGTATGTCAGAATTCTTTAAAATAATATGCATTGACAATATATATTTTTGAATCCCTGTTTGATATATAAATGGTGTAAACTCACTCGTTTTTATAGCATTGATAAAGTTGTCAGTAGATTTTGAAGATTACAGTACCCGACTTTGTGTATTTGTTGTTCCTTCAAGGTGTTAACTCAAGCCTTGCATTTTGAAACTCTCCTCTGATGGACAGCATGTTGGTGTATGGTCCCCCCTCAATAGTGTTCAAAATTCTCTCATAGGTGAATAACTCTCTTAAGTTTTTTCATTTGTTTTCCTGTCTTTGATTTAAGGAGGTAAGTACTGCCCTGTTTCTATATACTGTAGTTTGGTAAGACAAGAATTATATACACCCATTACTTAATGCTATGAGTCCTTCTGTAGTTGTCATTAATAGATACGTACAACAAACTACAGAGGCGGGAGTGTTGTCGTACCTCACAGTATCATGACTCACAGAGGTTCATACAATGCAATATTTCATTACAGAAAGTGTAGGAATGTTCCTTACTGGTTGACCAAAGCTTAACCACAAGTTACGGTACTGTATTTAAGAATTATGGTCAGGCTAATCGTAACTAGATACCGTACATTTATCATAAGAGAAAATTCCAAATGATTCCTTATGTATATATTTTGTCTCTATAACTGGTGCTAAGTATCTAGTTAAAGTAAGAGTCTCATTATAATTTTTAAACTTTAGTATTATTATTTTTGGGTTTAGCTTAGGGTCAAAGAGTCAGGTGGTACTTCCTTACATTTTCAGCCACGAACTATTGTGAAGGTGAAGCCAGGGCAGTATTATTCTTCCTGAACACTGTGGAGATATAACGTGTTGTCTAATTGCTTTGTGACAGTGACCTCTACTCGGGCGTCTGGTGGGAATGATGCGTTGTCAGACTCCCGGTACGAAGGCTTCCAGTTGTTGGATGAAGTACACGATGGCGATGACGACGATAATGATGAACCAGGTGTGTGGGTGTGTGTGGGGTTGGGTTAGGTTAGGTTAGGAATCATGATAGGTCAGTTTAGGTTATGTTAAGGACAGATTAGTAGTTTAGATTAGGGTAGGTCAGGTTAGTTTAGGTTGGATCAGGTTAGAAAATGTTTTAAGTATGGTATTCACGAGATATTAAGCCAAGATAATACTATTGTCTTATATCTGCCATGAAACAAGGTAAGGTAAAAAATACTCAAGACTGTGTGTGTGTGTGGCATTAACTGGTAAAAGATTATCCTTCAGGTTGTGTAGTTAAATGTTACTACCTGTGTGTAAAGTTAATTAGCTTGAATAAAGAGGAAGACTAAATATAAAATGATGGAGAGAGAGAGATAGATTACTCCATGATCAGAAGACTGTGTTAATGGAGGAGCTTTTGGGTGTAGGCTGACATCATTATACAAGGAATATACTTTATGAGCTAACTATAGGAATGATGTACAGAACACAGACATATACAAGTTTCCCTGCAAGAACTGTATTTCTCCTTATTACTTTTACATTTCTAGATGGTCAAGACTCGGAGGAGGACTACGAATATGACTCGGAAGTGCCAGAGGAAGAGATTGATGCCTTACTTGAAGAAGGACTACCGGAGGAGATGAAGGGCCCCAGGAAGAGGAAGAAAGACACTGTTCTTGGTGAAGGAGAAGAAGCTCCTTATGATGAAAGACAAAAAGTTGTTCTTGTGGGTAAGTTTACTGAGAATATTAATGGTATTATATGAGTATTATTGTTACATGCTGGTACATAAGTCATGATATACTGAATAAAATTAATAAGAAATATGGGTTTATGGACAACTGCTGATGGGAAAGGGGAAGTAAACATCTTTATAACACAGTAGATAAAAGAGGTTCATTGGGTGTTTTGGAAGTGTGTGTCAGAGAGTTGGGGGTTGTAGAAAGTGATTGGTGCTAGTTTACACCCAGAGAAGTTAAGGAGTTAAGGAATGTTTTTGAGTGTACAGATAAGATGGAAAGGAACAAATCAAATAGTGATGAAAACAAAATTATATTGACTACACCAGAGAGAGACAGAGAGAGAGAGAGAGTGTGTATGTGTGAATGACAGAGAGAGAGTGAGTTAGTGTGTGATTGGAGCATCTTGTTTGAAAAATAAGTAAAATATATGAAGACTAAGATGTAAAGGAAGGACATATTCTCCACAGGAAAAAAAGTTCATAGTTGTGACTTAATATTTCAGAAAAGGGGAGTAATCACTTCGAGGTCTTGCCTGAAGGGTGGGTGCAGGTGACTCATAACAGTGGTATGCCCGTCTACCTCCACAAGCAGTCGAGAGTTTGTACCATGGCCAAACCTTACTTCCTCGGCCAAGCTAGTGTTAGGGTAAGTGTGGGTATTGTCAACACTTCCTCGGCCAAGCTAGTGTGAGGGTAAGTCTGGGTATTGTCAACACTTCCTCAGCCAAGCTAGTGTTAGGGTAAGTCTGGGTATTGTCAACACTTCCTCGACCAAGCTAGTGTGAGGGTAAGTCTGGGTATTGTCAACACTTCCTCGGCCAAGCTAGTGTGTGGGTAAGTCTGGGTATTGTCAACACTTCCTCGGCCAAGCTAGTGTTAGGGTAAGTCTGGGTATTGTCAACACTTCCTCGGCCAAGCTAGTGTTAGGGTAAGTCTGGGTATTGTCAACACTTCCTCGCCAAGCTAGTGTGAGGGTAAGTCTGGGTATTGTCAACACTTCCTCAGCCAAGCTAGTGTGAGGTAAGTCTGGGTATTGTCAACACTTCCTCGCCAAGCTAGTGTGAGGGTAAGTCTGGGTATTGTCAACACTCTTGTGTGAGGCAGAATTGTCAACACTTTCGGCCAAGCTAGTGTGAGGGTAAGTCTGCAACACTTCTCGGCCAAGCTAGTGTGAGGTAAGTCTGGGTATTGTCAACACTTCCTCGCCAAGCTAGTGAGGGTGAGTCTGGGTATTGTCAACACTTCCTCTCCAAGCTAGTGTGAGGGTAAGTCTGGGTATTGTCAACACTTCCTCGCTAGTGAGGGTAAGTGGGTCATTGCTCAACACTTCCACTGGTCACTTCGCCACCAAGTTAGGTAAGTCTGGGTATTGTCAACACTTCCTCGGCCAAGCTAGTGTGAGGGTAAGTGTGGGTATTGTCAACACTTCCTCGACCAAGCTAGTGTGAGGGTAAGTGTGGGTATTGTCAACACTTCCTCGACCAAGCTAGTGTGAGGGTAAGTCTGGGTATTGTCAACACTTCCTCGGCCAAGCTAGTGTGAGGGTAAGTGTGAGTATTGTCAACACTTCCTCGACCAAGCTAGTGTGAGGGTAAGTCTGGATACTTTTGGCTGTGTAAAAATTTTGTTTATACTTTTAAGAAAATTCAATCTGGTATACTGTGAGTTAGTCAGGTAAAACACCGGAGGAGGTCTTGGCAGTATGAAAGTGATTAACCATCCATAGCTTTGTTGTGTAGATTAAAAATTATATTAGAGATCAGCATTTAAGTCAACATAATGTATTTAGCTCAGGTTAAACCTTCATGCTGTATTTAGCTCAGGTTAAAGCTTCGTACTGTACTTAGCTCAGGTTAAAGCTTCGTACTGTATTTAGCTCAGGTTAAAGCTTCGTACTGTATTTAGCTCAGGTTAAATCCTCGTACTGTATTTAGCTCAGGTAGTTTGCTAACATGTGTGTGGTGGTGTCAATACCCTGCTAATTAATGCCATACAAAATCACTTTCAGAAACACGACATCCCCCTGAGCGCCATCCCGTGCTTCCAGTACATGAAGGCTCTTGAGATTGAGAAGAACAACACAGAGGAGAGCAAAGAGATTAACGATCAGGAGAAAGATGAACAAGAAGACGGTGAACAGGTAAGAAATTATTATGTGGTTTGTGAGAAGAGCTTCCAGTTGTAGTCAGGAGAGCTAAGGAAGAAATTCCTTCTTTGAACTTAATTATTTATTTTGGACTTAAGTTACCTCACATTAATATTGTAATTGCAGACTATTAGTTAACCAGTTAATATTACTTCTCAACAAAACTTTATGTATCATTAATGATTTTTGGTCAGAGAAAACACATCACATACACATACCAGTAACTCTTATGTGTGATGAATTATTATATCTTTTATGTTATTTCTAGATGTTTGTATGCAGGAAGGTTATGAAAGTTAGTATTGTTGTGTTTGTGTATTGTATTGTCTCTTAACTCTGAACCTGACAGAGAGGGGAGGAGTCCATGATAGGGGTGATGGAAAATGGAATTGATGGCATGAAGACAACACCAAGTGGGAGTCGACCTTCAGGGTGTCCGGTGGCAACTGGGAGTCTGGCTGCTGCCCTCGCCCTCAACACAAACAAAGAAGGTGTGTGTGTGTGTAAGGGTGGATCCAGGGGGGGTGTCCTGGGGGTCCAGATCCCCCTTTGTCCTCAGAAAATTCCAATACTTTTAATGTAATGCAGTATTGTACTCAGGCATTTTTGTAAAGTAAAAAGTATTTACTGTTCTCATATCTGGGGTGACTCTTCTGTCCAACTGTTAGATAGGGTGGAATCAAAGGCATTTCGTCTTATTAACGCTCCTCCTTTAGTTGATAATCTTTCTTCCCTTTCTCTTCACCACAATGTTGCTTCACTCTCTCTCTTTTATAGGAACTTTAACGGGCAATGTTCGGTGCATTTGGCATCCTGTGTACCGCCGGCAAGGCCGTGGACTCTTAACACACGTCTTGCCCACCGTTTCTCTGTGACTGTCGGTCACACTATAATAACCCGTTATAGTACATCCTTCTTTCCTCACACTGTGGAATGTTCTGCTGTCTTCTGTGTTTCCATACTCATACAATCCGTCTCACTCTAAAAAGTTGGTTTTCCGGCATCATCGTGGTGTAGATTAATATAACCATTTCCTTTTCTATTTTTAATTTCTTTCTATTCTTCTTTTTTCGCCCCCCTAGGCCCCATTGTGGCTCGTTCGACCTGTGCCCAGGTGGGCTAATTCCCATAAAAAATAAAAATAAAAAATCCTAATATCAAGTGCACCTGGCCTCAAAATGCCCAGCTGGGTGGGCTCGCTGCATTGCCATGTTCTCCCCACCCACACCTTCCTGGACCCCCCTCCCCCTTTTGATATTCCTGGATCTGCCCCTGGTGTGTGGGTAGTATCAAGTATTTGACTCACGCACTAGGTGGAACTGTGGGACTGGAACTTGTACATAGGTGGTAATGTTGATGTATTCTCCAGGCACTTAAACTTCCTCCTCAGCTTTGGTCTTCCTTACTTCCTCTTGTCTCTGGTCCTTCACACATTGCGTTTCATAGGAATAATTATTAATATACGTACACATGAGGGATACTAGTAGATAATTATTAAATGGAAATGGATGGTCTGGTTAAAACCCAAATAACAAGATTTTAAATTCACTTACCATACTCTGCAGGTGCTTGGATGTATAAGTATTTTATTACCTTAAAATATTAAGTGTTTGCTCTAGGTTATGGGTATCCAGCAGTATAGCAGGTGAAGGCTTGCTGAAGTTTACATATAAAAAAACAAGGTTGAATTCGTCCCTCTTGCCCTAGGTGTGTCTCCACCGGCCGCCCTAATGGTGGGAAATGCCAAGATTGAGACAGCCGTTGAGAACTTGCAGCAGCAGTCCCTGGATGTGTCGGAGTTACGAGAGTACTGTACTAAACGCTTCCAGTTTAAGAGCATCAAAATCATCAGGTTCAAGTGAGTAGTGTTGGTCTGGTGCTGTATTATAAACAGAGGAGCACGAGCATTAGACTGAAGTTAACAGCCAGGTGTGTGAGTGTGTGTGTGTGTGACTTACCGTCATGCACCATAAGATTTGTTTTCTACGAGAAGATTCACTTTATATGATTTTAACATTTTCATTTGAACTGTTTAATTTAACAGAATATAGTTTGTGGAACTTGGATGTTATTGTGGAGAAGCTGCAGACTGGTGTATTGAGGGTTGTAGATTCTTTGGGTTTACCCTATAGTGTAAATACTTGTCATAGTGGGTTTCTTGCTCTCCTGTACAGTTCTTATTAAGAGCTAAAATTCATAAGTACAGTACAGTATTACTTGGTGTCTAAAATTTTATACACACCTCCATAAAATGGACTTCTCTCTCCATATAATCCCTTACATTGGGGTATTATATTTAACAAACCCTCGATATAATGGAATTTTATCTCTATATAGTATGATAGGTAGAGGTGTCGTATCTAATGGACCCTCGATATAATGGACTTTTATCTCTATATAGTGTGATAGGTAGAGGTGTCGTATCTAATGAGCCCTCGATATAATGGACTTTCCTCTCGATATTGTTCGCTACTCTACAAAATAACTAAAGTACTGTACTACATGAATTTGATCTCTGATAGTGTATACCAAAAATATTGTAAAGTTCATGAATACTATATAATAATTAATTTATTTTTAAGGTCTTGGGCAGAAAGAAGAAGATTCCAGAAGGTGAACAAGAAGAAAGATCGTCCACAGTTACCTGAAGGAACCAAACTGATCTCATTAAGGAGACAAGGTAACACATTCACCTGGTGTCAGCCATTCACTGTCTTATGTCTTCTACAGCCAACACATTGTTTTCTTCACTGGTTGTCTCTGTTGATATAGTTCACAGTACAGTACTGGGAATGTTTATGTATGGATGTATTGGCAGAAGTGATTGAAATAGGGAAGTGTGAATTAAGTGAAGGAATTGCTACAAGGGTCGATCACAGTTGGGTTATGGCTGTTATCATGGAGTGAATTAAGATCATGGTTGGAGGAAATTGCCATAGTCATGCTGCTGTGTGGTAAGAATAATCAACACTGAACGTACTGTCGGTAGAGAGAATATTTTAGTGCATGTTTTGTTTCAGAGGAGGATGGCGCCCCAGCAGCCAGCAGCAAGAAGGAATGGATCATGAACCCTAAAGGAAAGAGCTATGTGTGTATCCTTCACGAGTACGTCCAGCACGCTCTAAAGAAACAACCCAAGTACGTCTTCAAGGAAGTTGGTAAGTGACTTCAATGTATATCTTATCTCGCCTGACTGTAAGGTCATCCATCTATCTGTTTGGGACAAATTGATTTTCTTCTTAATAATACAGTATTATACCATAATCTAGGTACAATATAAACTTTCTTCTAGATATCCTCTTTTTATTATCTTCGGATCATGTTAAAGCTTTAGAGGGATTGGATAGCAACAGATAAAGAGAGAGTCAGTGTTTGCTTTTCCTTCCTGGTAAACAATAGTGAAAACATTCCACAGTATGTCATCCATATTTAATTACCAGCATCTCATATTACAGTGTGTACAGTTATTAATGACTTGTTTTTCATAATATGTAATTCACTTTGTTCACCAAGTTGACTCATCAGCGAGACTTTCCTCTCCCATTCAAAAGTTTGCACCTCCTCCTCAGCCTAATTCATGCTGCACCACCAGAGAATGCTGCCACACCTTACGCAGCCACCATCATCATCAATGAGATGCAGTACAGCACAGGGTACGGCAGCAGCAAGAAGCAGGCCAAGACCGAGGCAGCCAAGGCCACCCTGGAGATCCTTCTGCCTGAGCTGGGGGAGAAGATCAGAGAAGAGTCCAACACTAAAGGGGATGCTGATCTGTCTGTGAGTTGTGAGATACTGTATACTGTATGTCTTGTTGGAGGTTCAGCATCTCAGAATGTTAAGAGGATTAAACTACAGTGTCTTGGTTTAAAATATTATTGAAAAGATTCCAATACAGTACTTGTATCTTAGAAGACTTGCCAGTGTCTCTGAAAATCGTGATAATGGTGATAAAAACAAATCTATGGTATCACACACACTTTATAAGTACTAAATGCTTCAGTACATATTGGTTGACGCTACACTGCCATAATGTTAAATGCTCAGCGGGCGTCAGGGTATGAATATAAATGAAATTATCTGTATTAAAAACTAATCATTGTCCTTATGGCTGTTATACTGCCTTATAAGCTTTTCTCTCAAGATGTTATAAAACTGCCAATACTCTATTATGGTACAGATTGATGGGTAGGTAAGAACTTTGTGCTTCCATATTCATCATTGTTACCAGGATGTTTGTGAATAATTATCCTCACCAAACACACAAATTTCCCTCTGTCCCTCGGAGTAACATTACTAGATTCAGCGTCACTGTCCTAGGATAATTTTATTCTCTTTTTAAACCTTTTCCTGCCATTAATTTATATTTTTCTTGTATCATTCTTCTAATTCTCCCATTTCTGAGGTCCCTGTACTCCTTGATCTACCTCACACAAAAGTGGAAGTAAAAGACGATAGATAGATAACACGTGTTAATATTTACCTCCAAATATTTCTTCTCATTTACAGTTCTTCGACGAGATCCGTATCGAGGACCCCAGAGTACCCGAGCTGTGTAACAAGACGAGCGAGCTCTCCCCGTATTCTATCCTCCTCAATTGCTTACAAAGAAACTTCGGCCTTAACGGAGCAAACATAGACTCCAGGCTGGTCACTCAGAAGAATCAAAAGAATGAATTTGTGATGACCGTCGGCAAGCACACGGTCCAGGTACAGTGTAAGAACAAGAAGGACGGCAAGCAGAGAGCATCACAGGCTATCCTTCAGGTATGGTAACACTGGCGGTAAGGGCGAGATATTTAACGTGGTATGACTTTCTTCTCTGTACAGTATATGACAGATAAGATATGGGTAATTATTATGACATATAATGGTGACTTCTACCCATTAGCTGTTGTGCATCTCTGGTGTGTCTTAGCTGATTATTATTATTGTTGTGCAGAAACTCCACCCACACATCAGTAGTTGGGGATCTCTGCTACGACTGTATGGGAATAGATCGATGCAAACTATGAGGGAAAAGAAAGCTGAGGAACAAGAAATTACATTACTTCAGTCAAATGCCACAGTCAACCAACCCAACACCTCCATCATCAACAAACTCAAACAAGAAATGCTTAAACTACAGGAATTAAAGGTACAGTTGCCAGTGAACGAGTCTTTGTTGAAACACCTGTAGCGTCCCATCAGACTGTTCCTCCTTCTTCACACCAAACTCCTCTTATGTCCAGCAGTTGCCTCTATGATGTTTTTACCTCAGTCGGTTCTAATCAAATTACTTTCAGAAACTTTACACACTCTGTAGCTGGATGCTTGAATGTGTTTTTCCACTCCCAAATTATTCCTACTGTGGGCGCTGTTATTCTATTATTTTTAGTTCCATCAGTAACCTTTATGAATATCAATCCTGACTTACTCTTAACAGTCTACAGTAAGAACTTTTTGACCTGGTCTTACTGAGGCAGCCAATAATGAACTCTTATAAGTCTTGTCTATTGTGTGTCTTAGTGAAAGGTTCCTCTGTTGTGTCCTGGTGCCTTTTTCCTCATTGTCACACGCTGAAACATTTACGTCCATCATACATCATTTTACAGTGATAGGCAACGTCATTACCCGAGCTGTCAAAATGAGCTGCATCTTTTTATGTCAGTTCATGCCACTGAGAATATTTCATGTGGGAGTATTTGGAATATTTGGTAAAGTAAATGTACGAGTATTTGTGTTAATGTATGTATATTACAATGAATTCTTCCTGATGTACAGTCACGAAGAAGAGTCCTGTCGCCTCTCCTACAGCTCCACGAACCCGAAGCACTAGACACCGATGCCTCAGGTTCACGAATCTTAATCTTGGGGATCGTGGAGCAGCAGGAGAGTTGACAGGACTTTTGTAAATATAACCAGACAAGATGACATTTCTGTTCATTTTTTTACCACTTTCATCCTACCTTTTATTTTGTTGCATTAATGTTTGTTTCTCTGCCCTTCAGAACTCCATCCAACCCATAGGAAAGTTTCTCCCTCCTGAAGATGTTGCTCTGCCATCTGCTTCTGGAATAGACCTGAATAATGTGGACTTGTAAAGAAATGCAGCTGGTGTTTTTGTAGTAAGTACATGATTGATGGGAGGTGAAGTGCAGCTGGAACCATTTTAAGATGTGCAGCTGAAACCATTTTAAGATGTGCAGCAGTGATGGAGGGAAATGCAGCTGTTACCATTGTCAAATGTGCAGGAGTGACAAAGATGAGCTTTAATGACTGGGATAGCTGAGAACCTTGCTAGTCACTTATTCCCAGTAGTAAATGAGGAAGTTGATGAAGACACCAATTTTCAGCCATCACAAACATTTTATCTTCCCATGGAGGTTGTATTTTCCCGGAAGAAGTATGGCACTGTACCTCACTCTACCTTACTAGCAGAGATTCAAGGCAGGTGGTCGTCGTTCACCGCCGTAGGTATTCAGATTGTGAATATTTGCACTTCTTATGCAAGGTGAATTTACATCATTCATTAAGCTGTGATGAAAAATGATTGAAAAGTTAACTGTGATATTTTAAAGTGCATATGCTTGATAAATTTTATACAATTATGAATGAATTCTTGACCAACTTACCGAGGTCATTACTGTAATAGATCTTGTCCATCCCAAGTAACTTGACTATTAGTTTAGATGTTATTTAAGATATAAATATATCATTTTCTTTTTATTGTATAAAAAAAATATAAATGAAAACTTGTAAAGGTTGTACAGTACATTAAAAAATCACAAGAAATGAAAGAAACCCAACATTTACTGTACTTTTAAAGAGAATAAAGAGTTTTACACATGTCTGTACAGTATATCACCTTCAGATAGTCTGCTTGAACACAGAATAAATATACTACACATTATGCTCTGCAGTTGTCTATTACAGGAGATGAATTTTATATTATTATTTTTATATATCCAAAGTGTATGGTTGACTAGATATGACACTGATTGTTCTCCAAAATATCAAACAAAATGTAATACAGTATTTACAGTACAAATAAAAATTGTCCATCTGAAATTTTGTTAAGGGATGAATTTATTGGAGAGTTTACTGTGTAACTTTCTCAGTCTTATACTATATGCCTTTTTATGCTGAAGAAAGTGTCTTAAAGATGAGTTGGTTAAATGTATGTAGGCTGCATAAGGTCAACAGCAGGACCTTTGACATAATGCAGGAGGGGGGATGATGGTGGAGCTATTTTGATTAGAAAGGGAAGTTATCCAATTCCTGGGAGCACAAGTGTGAAGATACATATATCATATATATAGATGGGCACTCATAAATATATATATATACAGTGGGGTATGCTATAACGAACGGATCCTACTACGAATATTCCTATAACGAACGGTTTTACCTATAAAATTGAGAATGCTATAACGAACGCAACTACAACGAACGCGGATGAATACGGGACTATTTCGTCTGGCGCATGAATATTGTACAGCGGCTCACAACAAGAGCGTCAGGCGCCATCTTTGTCTCATTGTGTAGCCAGTGCACCACTGTTATTGTTGAAATTTCGTCTTTTGATGTGGAAATTCGTGTTATTTGTATAACTATTTTGTTATACAAGTATACAATTGTAACAATGAATCGTCCAAAGCGAGTGAGAAAGCTAATAACCCTTAAAACTAAGAAAGAAATCATAAAGAAACGTGAGGATGGAACAAGCATTGCAAAACTTAGTGATGAATATGGGATGGCTAAATCAACCATATGTACGATTTTGAAGAATAAAGAGGAGTTGAAAACTGTGCAAGTGGCTAAGGGAATCTTTAGACTTAGCAAAGCAAAGTGTAATGTGATTGAAGAGATGGAAAATTTACTCTTAGTGTGGATAAAGGAGAAAGAAATGGCAGGTGATAGCATTAGTGAAGCTATAATTTGTGAGAAGACCAGACAATTGTTTGAGGACCTTAAAGCCAAGACTCCCAGTGGAAGTGATCGTGATGTGCCAGTGTTTAGGGGTACCTGCATGCTGAACAACACTAAGGTAAGATAAAGTACCGTATTTTTTACATTTTCCACAGAAAATTTTCAGTGTTAAGTGGTTGTATTTGGGGGCCTGGGACGGATTAATCCTATAACGAACGAGGTTCTAGAACCAATTAGATTCGTTGTAGCATACCCCACTGTATATATATATTTATATATATATATATATATATATTACACAATAGTAGGTTAGGCAAGAAGTAGATTCCCAGTATAAATGGTTTAATCAGCAACTATGAGAGTGTGGGGTAAATATGTGTAAGTACTGAATTATTAGGTAGAGTATTTCCTAAGATTCTGTTCACAGACTAGTAATGGCAGGTTTGAAAGACTTAATAACAAATCATAAATAAAAATGACAAAAACTAAAGCACTTGGTAGTAATGAGCTGAAGGAAAAACAGAAATAAACTTGTATGGTTTTGTAAAACAATGAAAGTAAAACAACAGGTTGGCTACTGTGTCAAGTGACTGACTAATGAAGAAACTGTATGAGAAAGTGTTGATGATACCTGAAGGAACAGAGTAGGAAGTGACCTGAACAGATTAGCTTATTTCACCTGATCATTTTTAAACACCCAAACACAACCTGGGGGATTAAGTTAGGTTAGCATTATGGTGTTTAATCATCAGGTGGTCCTCAGAGTACACCTAATGTAGGGCCAAGTGAAGGGAGGAAATGAAATAAGAGGGAAGAAGAGTACAGTACAGTATAACATTGTATTTGCATCGGTGAAATGGAGGAAATCCTTAAAATGGTTTCTTAACCTGGGGTCTGTAAGGGAATCTTTGAGGGTACGTGACCGAGTCCTGAAAATATGACAAGTAATACAGCCATAAAGAAAGTCTCATAATTCTTGAAATCCAGAAATGTTCTCCTACCTGGAGATTGGTACCAACTACTATTTACTGCCATCTGTGAGGAAAATCAGCAGACATGCAAACAGTCATCTTACTGCAGATAACACGTCTCTCCTGCCACTCACACCTGTGATTAAGATCAGGTGATTATTGTATTTTTTGTCCTACAAGTTTAATTAAGCTATGCAACATGGCCATGACAATGTTAAACACACAAGCAAGAACACAGGTACCTGTGCACAGAAGAGCACAGACACATGAATATGTACATTTATACACAAGTACCATATGCACACATACATGAGCATGCACATGCAAAACAAGTACTGTACAGTACAAGCACATACCTGCATATACAAACACGCATACATAAGCATGCACACGCATACACAAGCAGGCACATGCATACACAAGCACACATACAGACATACACTAGTTTGCACACACAGACATACACACAAACATTCACATATACAAACACACAAATGTACCAAGTGTCTGGGGCAAGGTATTATGTTACCATTAAGACCCACACTGGAGACCTGAGGCGGATGTTAGTTGATAGTAGTAATGTCAGAGTCAGGCTCCAGCTTATCATCCCCAGAGAGATAATCAGAGCTTCTGGTAAGGAGACAAAATTAACATAACTACAGATGCAAAAATACGACATGTAACTGTTTGACTTAATACACAAAAGTAACATCCAAAATTGGTGCTAAGTGAATGTGTTATGACAATGTTAGTGTAATATAATGTAAATATATACACTGTGACTAACAACCTTGTCTGTGAAGTATTTTGGTGCTAAATGTAAAAACCTTGGGGATGTAAATAGAATTATCAAGATAGTATCGCCTTCCGCCCCTGTGTGCTGCTTCCTTGTCATGGGAAATAGATAATGTAATGTGGACGCCTTCTGAGTCCTGAGTCTTTTAAAGATTGTTTTGGTAAATAGACTTCAGATCCACCTGAAGATCAGACACCCCAACTTATTTCACCTGAAGATTAGACACCATCTTATTTCACCTGAAGATTAATCAACCTAATGGTACCTGTACTCCTCTTTACACATAGATTTAACTTACTCGTGTACACATATATAAGCAAGAAACTTTATAAAAAAAAATCTGGGCTTTACGTGTTTTTTGAAAGGCTATTGTTTTAACACAATTTTCGAGTACAGTATTGGGGAGGATGGGTCCATGGCCCCCACTGGTGGATTAGCGAGGTAGTGGTGGGGGTTCACCCTCCCCTTACGAGTGACAGGGTGAATATATACATGGATATTTATTCACAAAAAAGAGTCTATTCAAATTCACAATGGTTGAGAACATTCGGTATTTGGTAAACTGTACGTTGACAAAGGATAGCCCAAGAAAGTTACGTTAAAGGTTTGGGGTTAATAATCATATTATTTCTATAGGATATATAAATATAAAGTTGTGTGACTGATAAGCGTTTTATGACAACGCTTCTGATGCCTCCTAAACTAATTACAAAGGATTAGAAACTGAAAACCCTAAACAAGGTAAACCTGTCATAAATATATCAAGATGTAAGATATATTGACCCTAACGACGGCCAGTGAAGATGGAACAAGAACAAGAAGAGGCTGGAACATTTGACTCAAGTGTTTATATTGCTTGACTTTGCCAGATTTATGCAAGATGTTAATATATATCCTTTGAGGTTTCTAGTTGCGATTTTCCTTTAGGGAGTTAAGAACATAAAGATACACGGGTATGTCCTTGAGCTTGATACTGGGCACGTGTTTGTCTATTAAATAATTCACTTTACTGTGTGATATTCTGGGTAGTAAACGCGTTTGTTTCTCAATGAGTCAGGTCAATCCATACTCCTTGTTTCCTCCCTCATCCTGTTGTAATCACCATTGTAATATGTAAGTCTCTTCCCTTCAGTTTAATTTAACACTATATCGATTCTTCAAAAGCATCTTCCGTTCACCCTCACCTGACTGGCTCTTGGGTTGTAATACGTCAAAATCTCATCACAATAATAAAAACCTGCTGTAAAGTAAGTTAAGTACATAAAAATAGTGAACAGACAACTCTGATACATAAATTTCCTAACGTTTTAACAAGGTATGTGGAGTGTGTTGGTCACCAGAGAGGAAGGTGGTAGGCGAGACAGTCAGTGACCAGAGTTATGTTGATGGTGTGCTTGATGGAGTGTTTAGAGGGCCGTATAGGAGCTACACGGCACGGACACACACTATATACAACACCAGTAACGGTAAAAGGCATCATACACCTCGTCAGTAAACAAGAGAGAGATCTAACAAACCTTGACTGAGGTAACAAGGCACTAATGGTGGCGGTGTACAGCTGTCAGACGAAATATGGTAAATTAAATTTATTGTTTTATGTCTTAGTTAAATAATTATGTCAAGCCATTTGTAGGTTGAAGGTAGCTTGCTAAGTTAACATCTAAAAGGACTCCCCCCCCCCCTCCCCCGACAGCTTAAATGGCCACTAATTGTAAAGAATCAACGTTTATAAAATTTTATTGGTGTCATTCGTGTACTTAGTGTTGTTTTGTAATTTTTATAATATTCCAATACTTTTCTTTAATGCAGTATTGTACTCAGGCATTTTTTGTATAGTAAAAAGTATTCAATATTGACCTCAGAATATCTCCTAACATCAAGTGCACATGGCTTCAAAATGGCCCCAAAATGCCCATGATATATGGATCAGATTTAAAAAAAATGTTGAGGGGGAGGAGGTTACAGCCCCAAAAAAAAACCCCCTCAGCAGAGTGGGCTCGCCGTGTCCCCCCCCACTCACTTCTTGAACCTGCCCCCCCTCCTGATATTCCTGGATCCGCCCCTGAGCTCTATAATGGATCACCACGCATGGACACATTAGGGCGAGATGGATATGTACATTTATTTTTATTTACGTGACTGAAGTATTC